TGAAACAACACACTGTAGCCCATAAACATGTACAAATCAATGTTAAAGTTAAAAAAAAAAAGAATTAGGTAAGTCATTTGACAGTGTTTACCTTGAATGACAACTTTATCTTGGATATTCAAGTTGCTGAAAAACTCTGTACTAAGTTACTTAAGATCACTATACATACACAGATCCATTTTAAAATGTTTAAAAATGTTTGTTTTTAAACATTTTAAAGTAGATTTGGCTTTAATCAAAATACAAAGTATAACCTCACAGTATGTCTTTTCACCTTTCAAAATACTTTCACAAGCTATTTGTTACTTTATTTTCCTTATTAGTCTATACAATGTTATCTCTGTTTTAAATATGACAGATTATGGTAGTGATGGAATGACTTGTCCAAGAATGGTTACTCCAGTCTTTCTCCTGAAGATCTGCCAATTGCTGGTAACTAACAGTTAAGTAGGGACATATTCAAGACCACAACCTAGCTGAGAAGCATTCAAGTGAGGTTGGCAGATTTTTGATTAGCCAAATTGGAGAGTCTCTGCATTTACTTTTCCTCCCACTGACTCACCTAACTTTCTACCAAAGTTCTACCTCCCCAATTAAGAGGTAACAAGGTGGAAATTTTTTTATGGGCCACTTGGGCTATTAAAGTAATAGGCAAGTCAAAGTGTCGGAGAACCACTTTACTCTTTTCTATTCATCCAAATATTGTTCTTTCTATAACTAGTCTCAAAATAAGGCTTTCATTATTGTTATACAGGTGGTCAGTACCCTTCATGATAAAGAAAAACTATATTCTTAAGGAATCAAAATGTTCTTTGTAGTTTCTTTTCCTTAATACATGTTTATTCCTAGTAACCCAGTGGTATGAAAAAAATGAAACTTGTTATTCTTATTAAATATCAAAGAGATAAGAGTTCCAGGCAACTAGTTACAAAAATGATGCTGAAAGGTTTTCCTCCTTTTCTAACATAATCTAATATATTTTTTGAATTATGGTGCTTAAGGAATTGAAGACAAATTTAAATGCCATTTAATTTGGGAACTATTAGTTATCCAGAAACCAACTGATTGGGGGATGGAAAGATAACTGATCATTTCTTAATATAAAAATGCTTCCAGGATTTTCTTCTCAATATCACTTCTACTTACAGAGGCAACTGTTCAAAGTCTTCTATTTTCCACAGAATAAATTCTTTGTTTCAATCAACTTTCAATGGATGGTAAACTAGAACAAAACTACTGTCTTAGATAAAAAGCACTAGAATATTTTGTTGGTTTGATTTACATTTCTTTTCATATGTTTCTTCATAAATTTCTATTGTGATCAAATAATCTTAAGTACCACCCAAAATCTTTGTGTTGTTCATAAGCGTGGAATCTGCCTCGAAGTTCTCCAAACTTCTCATTTTAACATAGATTTGCTCATCACAGATTTGAAGTGGATGTTAGTGGTTTGTTGTAATCCATGCTCTTCTTTATGTTTCAGACTCAGCTCCCTTTCCCTTGTCTAGTTTTTATTTTAGAGCTTTAATTTCCAAAGTAAGTTGACTTTTCTGGATCTTTGTCTTTATAGGTGAATATTCCCGCCACCTAGATGAAAAGGACACCTTAGTTTCTCAGCTCTCAAGGGGCAAACAAGCATTCACACAACAGATTGAGGAACTGAAAAGGCAGCTTGAAGAGGAAATAAAGGTGAGCCTACTTGTTCTTGTTTTGTTATTGTGGTTATTGTTGTTTTTGTGGTTATTGTTGTTTTTGTGGTTACTGGTTTTTTGCTTACTTTTACAGATTTTCTTCTGGTGGCCAATAGAAGCTTAGGGATTAAACATCACTTTAAAGATTTAAAATTAAGTCACCAATCTCTGTGTTCTCAGGCCAAGAGCGCTCTGGCCCATGCTCTACAGTCTTCTCGCCATGACTGTGACCTGCTTCGGGAACAATATGAAGAGGAGCAGGAAGCCAAGGCTGAGCTGCAGAGGGCAATGTCCAAGGCCAACAGTGAGGTTGCCCAGTGGAGGACCAAATACGAGACGGATGCCATCCAGCGCACGGAGGAGCTGGAGGAGGCCAAGTATGTTTTAGACTTAGTTAAAATGGAAACATCTCTGTTAACAGTCAAAGTGCATTAACTATAAGTACTATATGGGTAAACAGGTCCTTGCTCCTAAAACACATGAAAAATGAGGGGGAAAAAATGCATGAACATAAACCTAAGCAAGAAAAATAAATACTCTAGGTTGTCTAGGGAAAAAAATTATGCTAGAAGGTAGAAAGAGAAAGGATATAAGGTAAGAGGAAACTGAATAATAATGTTTTTAAAAGGGGGAAATTTTGACTTCATTCTATCTATACAGGTACAGATAGAATAAATTAATTGTACTCTCCTGTGCCTCTCCTTCCTCTTAGCCACTGATGGAATAATTGGTCCAGGATGACAGTTATGTAAGAGACAAATAATCAGGCTTTAAAGCACAGCTCTTCCTTTTGAGATGTAAAATTACGACTATTTATAGGGGAAAATAGAAATGTATTGTTAAAGACTAAAAAGTATGCAGAAAATTCTATAATAAAAAGGAAAACATTGTTTCATATAGGACTAAATATTCAATGCAATTCAAAAGTTCAAGACTGAACTGTAGTAAGAGGGGCAATCTGAACAGGAAAGGACCTACTTATTCAACAGAAAGTTTAAGACAAGATCTAGTAATTTATTCTGAGAATAATGTACAACCATATTGCTGGAATTAATGTTTTGGTGGATGCCTTAGAAGAGAATCTGAGAGGAACTGTCAAAGCAAAATTTATACTGATCCGGGAAAGCTTCTTTTTATTAATGGATTAATGAAAAGTTCACCAAAAAATAAGGAATACAACTAAACAGACAAAATCAAGTGTATTTTATTTTAATTCAATTCATCCAAAATTTGAGTTCTTAATATGTGTGACAGCCTACAAGAACACAAAGATTAGCAAGGTGCAGACTCTACCTTGTGGGGATTAAAATTAAGTGGAGACATATACATAAATAATAGCAACTCGAGGTAGGTATTATTAATATTTTATAAAGGAGGAGCAAACCAACTACCATGAAGGGTAAAATGTTGGCTCAGTCTTTTCATGGATGCCCTCAAAGCCAGACTATGAAGTACGACAATATCAAAATTTGGGTTGTCTTCAGTATTTGGTGGTTGGAGAATGGGTGTATTAGTCTGTTTTGTGTTGCTTATAACAAAAAACTTGGAACAGGGTAATTTGTAAAGAAAATGAAATTTTATCTGCTTACAGTTTCTGAGGCTAGGAAGACCAAAGTCCACCTGGTGGTGGCGACAGTGACCCAGGGGTCTCACATTGCAAGATGGTAGAAGCAGAGAGAGAACAAGAGAGACAGACTCTCTTCTTTTAAAGTCCCCAGAACCATGCCCATGACCACTATTTTTAATCCATTCACTACTACACGGTCCTACAATTCCATCACCCCTTCAGGGCTCCACCTTTCGATTACCATAATAGGATTTCCCACCCTCTTAACAGTCACAGTGGGAGCTAAGTTTAGAATACATAAAACTTGGGAGACAATTCAAGCTTCAATGAGTTTTGGGGGGACATAACTCAATCCACTACAGTGGGGATGAGGTAATACAGAACTGGACCTGAAAAACCAGTTGAGATGCAAAGTATTAAAGAAGTCTGACTGCGGAAAGCACTCACTCACACCCACTCGGAAACACCCAGTTCTGCTCACAGCCATTCACTTCTGTTGTCCATATTTTACTTTTTAGAAAGAAGCTGGCTCAGAGGCTGCAGGATGCTGAGGAACATGTAGAAGCCGTGAACGCCAAATGTGCTTCCCTAGAGAAGACGAAGCAGAGGCTCCAGAATGAAGTGGAGGACCTCATGATCGATGTTGAGAGAACAAATGCTGCCTGTGCAGCCCTGGACAAAAAGCAAAGAAATTTCGATAAGGTATTCTGTCCAGTTTCTACTTCAACATTCAACATATGATTAATGATAGCCTGCTACCTTCAGTGTGCCTTCTTCAAGCCAGCTGAAGGCTGTGCTCAGTAGCTCTTGCTCCATTGGTAGGTGTGTGTGCAGCCAGATGCAGGGGCTTCCTGTGGTTTCTATTTTTCTCATCTATAATTATTTTTCAGTCCCAGATCACCTCAACTCTGAGAGCTGCCAGAATAGATGGCTTTCATCCCATCAAAATTCTCCAATAAATTTCTTGACCATTCCTTGCCTTTCAGATTCTGGCAGAATGGAAACAAAAGTATGAAGAAACTCATGCTGAACTTGAAGCTTCTCAAAAGGAGTCCCGCTCCCTCAGCACAGAACTATTCAAGATTAAGAATGCTTATGAGGAATCCTTAGAACAACTTGAAACCTTGAAACGGGAAAATAAGAATTTGCAACGTGAATATATTTTACCTTTTTTTAAACAAAATATTTAAAATAATGTTTTCCCTTCTGAATAAATTTCTATATTTTTGTCCATCAACAGAGGAGATTTCTGATCTCACTGAACAGATTGCTGAAGGAGGGAAACGTATCCATGAACTGGAAAAAGTAAAGAAGCAAATTGAACAAGAAAAGTCTGAAATTCAGTCTGCCTTAGAGGAGGCAGAGGTAGATATTTTATTGTACACTCAAAAATAATTATGAGAGGAACTAGGCTCTACTGAATGCAAGGATCAGTGAATCAAGAGAAATGAAAAATAATTTTTATTCTGTGTACTAAGGATGAGGATGGAAACTTGACCATGCATAACTATATGTCATAAACTGTGCTAGAGACTGAGAAAACAAAGATGAATAAATTAAAGGCCCTGCCCTCAAGGGCACAATCCAGCTAGGGAGATAGAAGCATATAAAACCAATAATAACACATTGTAGAACTTTCTACAACAATGACATAAAAATGTATTATGGTAGCACAAAGGTAGGAACTAATTCCTATTTCTAGAATACTGCACACTTCCATTCCCCTACTAATGTCACCTCTCGCTGTCATTAAGGCATCTCTTGAACATGAAGAGGGAAAGATCCTGCGCATCCAGCTTGAATTGAACCAAGTCAAGTCTGAAGTTGATAGGAAAATCGCTGAAAAGGATGAGGAAATTGACCAGCTGAAGAGAAACCACATTAGAGTCGTAGAGACGATGCAGAGCACGCTGGATGCTGAGATCAGGAGCAGGAATGATGCCATCAGGCTCAAGAAGAAGATGGAGGGAGACCTCAATGAAATGGAAATTCAGCTGAACCATGCCAACCGCATGGCTGCTGAGGCCCTGAAGAACTACAGGAACACCCAAAGTATCCTCAAGGTAAATGGGCCCAGGAGAAAAGTTCCGTGATGATCGGGGTGACTGCCACCCTGAGAACGTGGTGTCTCAATGACTGTTCATTCCACAGGATACCCAGATCCACCTGGATGATGCTCTCCGGGGCCAGGAGGACCTGAAGGAGCAGCTGGCCATGGTTGAGCGCAGAGCCAACCTGCTGCAGGCCGAGATCGAAGAGCTGCGGGCCACTCTGGAGCAGACGGAGAGGAGCAGGAAAATCGCAGAACAGGAGCTCCTGGATGCCAGTGAGCGTGTCCAGCTCCTGCACACCCAGGTGGGGAGAGTAATACAATAGTACAAAATACAAAGAAATGAAAATGAAATTCTTGTTCAAATCTTAGTGCTACTTAGAAATGTTTCATAATGTTTCATGGACAATAAAGTTTAAAACATACAATTTCTTTTGGATTACCAATATTTTTGTTTATCTAAACTGTGACATGCAGATTTGATTATCTTTTAAAAATATATTGTTAACTCAGATCACTTATGAAACAAAGAGGAATACTGATTAGTTGTTTCAATTAGTTTATGAATTCATTAGAACATCAAACATCCTAATTTTGCTGTCATGTACTTAATATTTCAATTTGATATTTTAACCAGAACACCAGCCTGATCAACACTAAGAAGAAGCTGGAGACAGACATTTCCCAAATCCAGGGTGAGATGGAGGACATTGTCCAGGAAGCCCGCAATGCAGAAGAGAAGGCCAAGAAGGCCATCACTGACGTGAGCGGAGGGCAACACCATGGTGGGCAAACATGAATCGTGCTGTGCTCTCTCCACCGTCTTAACTGATTCGGTTTTACTAATTAGGCCGCCATGATGGCTGAGGAGCTGAAGAAGGAGCAGGACACCAGCGCCCACCTGGAGCGCATGAAGAAGAACCTGGAGCAGACGGTGAAGGACCTGCAGCACCGTCTGGACGAGGCCGAGCAGCTGGCGCTGAAGGGCGGGGGGGAGAGTAATACAATAGTACAAAATACAAAGAAATGAAAATGAAATTCTTGTTCAAATCTTAGTGCTACTTAGAAATGTTTCATAATGTTTCATGGACAATAAAGTTTAAAACATACAATTTCTTTTGGATTACCAATATTTTTGTTTATCTAAACTGTGACATGCAGATTTGATTATCTTTTAAAAATATATTGTTAACTCAGATCACTTATGAAACAAAGAGGAATACTGATTAGTTGTTTCAATTAGTTTATGAATTCATTAGAACATCAAACATCCTAATTTTGCTGTCATGTACTTAATATTTCAATTTGATATTTTAACCAGAACACCAGCCTGATCAACACTAAGAAGAAGCTGGAGACAGACATTTCCCAAATCCAGGGTGAGATGGAGGACATTGTCCAGGAAGCCCGCAATGCAGAAGAGAAGGCCAAGAAGGCCATCACTGACGTGAGCGGAGGGCAACACCATGGTGGGCAAACATGAATCGTGCTGTGCTCTCTCCACCGTCTTAACTGATTCGGTTTTACTAATTAGGCCGCCATGATGGCTGAGGAGCTGAAGAAGGAGCAGGACACCAGCGCCCACCTGGAGCGCATGAAGAAGAACCTGGAGCAGACGGTGAAGGACCTGCAGCACCGTCTGGACGAGGCCGAGCAGCTGGCGCTGAAGGGCGGGAAGAAGCAGATCCAGAAACTGGAGGCCAGGGTGGGTCTTGTAATCAGCATGTGTTCCCATCTCATTCCAATGCAATGCACGACTTGGAATACCTGGCACTGCTGGATGATATGGGGCATGAGATGAAAGACACATATTCCCTGCTGCCTGAGAGCTTATAATGGGGGCAATTAGACTAGGGCATCAAAAACTACATATAAAGCAGAGTAAAAAAAGAATGCAGGTCATTTGAAGAAGCAGAAATTCATTGACCGATGGGATTATAGTACATGTTCTTAAATTTCCTCTTCCTTGCAGGTACGGGAACTTGAAGGAGAAGTTGAAAGTGAACAGAAGCGCAATGTTGAAGCTGTCAAGGGTCTACGCAAACATGAGAGAAGAGTGAAGGAACTCACCTACCAGGTAAGGAAAATGGCCTGTCTAGGTTTTCAACCCAGTCTGCAAGGGATTGAAAACCGTAAGTACAACAAAATGTGATGATATTTGTACATCCAAGAAACTCACCCTTTAAAATATTATTTCAGACTGAAGAAGACCGTAAGAATGTTCTCAGGCTCCAGGACCTGGTGGACAAACTGCAAGGGAAGGTGAAAGCTTACAAGAGACAAGCGGAGGAAGCGGTGAGTTCAGAACCCCCTGGGGTGATTGGGCAGCCTCCAGTTCTCAGACATAACCAGGCCAATCTAGGAAAAGGGATGAAAGAAAAGATGAGTAAAATGAGGAAAAATCAAAGAAAAATGACTGAATGAAGGTCTGAGAATGAGAAGAAACTTATCCACTTAATGATCCAGGTAAAGTGTTCTAGGGAGGGGAAGAGCAAATATAAAGCTTCTGAGTGCAGAACAGTCCGGTTCAGGAAGCAGAAAGAATAGGAAGAGAGCAGCACACACGTGCTAGAGAGCTAGGGAGGAGGCAGATCACAGGGTCTTACAGGTAAGAAATCTGTATTTTATTCTTAGCACAACGGGGCAACTGGGAAGCCACAGGAGGGTTTTAAGTTGGGTCAGTCATGATCTGATTTGTATTTTTTTACAAGAATATTCTGGCTACTCTGGGGAGAACAGATTACTGGGTAAGACAGGTAGGTGCAGAGAAACATATTAGGAATATTTTAAGGAGATTCTGTGGCTTGGGTTAGGGAAGCAGTGGAACAAAGAGAGAGAAGTGGAGAGATTCAAGATATATTTTGGAGGTAAAAATGACAAGATATGCTAGTAGATTGCACTTGGGAGGGGAAAGAGAGGAAATCAAAGGGAATTTATCAAGTTTATGGTTTGAGTAATCAGGTGGATGGTATAACACTTACTAACATGGGGAACTAATGAAAGGCCAGATTTGCAGGGCAACAAGGAAATAGGAATTCTGTCTGGGATATATTAAGTGTGAAATGCCATTATATGCAAGTGAAGTTGTCAAGTAAGTAGTTGAATATAAGAGTCTAGAGCTCAGAACATCTTGGTTATGTTCAAACTAGTAGATTCTTGGCACTGCACCATATCTCATTTTTCTATCCTGTGATTTGTCTGAAATAATAATTGAATAATATCAATTTTCTAAGTACAGGTACACATACCTACATGTCATAAACAAGATCCTCTGTTCATTAATGGTTTTTATTTTTCCCAAAGCCTCTAAAGTCAAAGAGAAAGAGAAAGAGAGAGAGTATGGGGCAGGAGAAGGAGATGAGGGAAGGAGAGAGAATAAACACCCATATGGGTACACACACACACCACACACACACACATACACACACACACACACCACACACACACACATACACACACACACACACCACACACACACACATACACACACACACACACCACACACACACACATACACACACACACACACCACACACACACACATACACACACACACACACCACACACACACACATACACACACACACACACCACACACACACACATACACACACACACACACCACACACACACACATACACACACACACACACCACACACACACACAGGATACTTCAAAAAGTTCGTGGAAAAATAGAATTGAAAGATAATATAAATCCTTCCATGAACTTTTTGAAGTACTGTCATACACTCATACCCACACCTTGGACAAATCACATAACATTTCTCTAGCTCCTAGTTTCCTCAATTATACAAGGAAGATTGGAGGTTCTTTTCAAGCTATTCTATTTAGTGATTCTAAGCTTTATGAATGTTCTCAATTTGAATACCACATTTTGGAGAATTCTTACTGGGACTTTTAAAAAAGAATGATTACTGGAGACTAAACTAGAATTGGGCTTCTCAAATTCATTGCATAATCTCAAATTCAAACATAATCAGACTATTTTAGAAAACAACAAACTTCTTGTTTAGTTTCTAAACTTTATTAAGTGGCAATAATTTATGCTCAAGTGACAATAATTTAAACTCACGTGGCAATAATTTATATTCAAGGCTAATAGTTTGGTGTAATATATATTGCATACCTGCATTTTTATAGTCTGTCTTCATTATCAGGATTCTGAAAAAAAAAAGAAAAAGCTGGAAACCTGGCTTATTTCATAGTAGCTCTAAGATATTTAGCTGTCCCAAAAGTTCACAGACAAATGGCACCTGTCATCCCTTGTCATCCATGAGTTCAAAAAGCATAAGAGAAGCTAATGCAAAAAAAAAAAACCCCAGAAATTCAAAAACATTTTTCTAGATTTCTTAAAAGATTTACTAGAATGAATCACTTTTTAATAAAAAGAAATTCAAGATCCATTGACCCAAGAATATAGAAATTCTGAACTTTTGTCTGTCACAAATGCATTTCATTTCACAGGAGGAACAATCCAACGTCAACCTCTCCAGATTCCGCAAGCTCCAGCACGAGCTGGAGGAGGCTGAGGAACGGGCTGACATTGCAGAGTCCCAGGTCAACAAACTGCGGGTGAAGAGCCGGGAGGTTCACACAAAAATCATAAGTGAAGAGTAATGCATCCAAATCTTAAAAAGTGACCAAAGAAATGCACAAAATGTGAAAATCTTTGTCACTCCATTTTGTACTTTTGACTTTTTGGAGGTAAAAAATTTATCTGCCAAGATCTTGTGAATATCTTTTTTTTCCCTCTGTGTCAATTTATTGTTTATGCATCAAGAAAAGGATAAAAAAAAAACCCACAACATTTTGCTTATATCTTATGGAAAAAGGCATAGTCACCAAGATTAAAACATGAGCTAGGCCAACTCCAGTAAGTGCCACCATATACATCCCTATGGGAAGCAGGTGAAGCCTAGAGGTGAATCACCGGCATAGAGAATTAGAATATTTGGTAAACCTCACTTGGCAAAACATCAGCTAGTTTCTGTTAATGAAGTTATTAATATTCTTTATAAAATGATAGGAAACACTTTATCCTAAGACAGTAAAAATAAAACATTAATCACCTACATAAAATTACAAAAAAAGTAAAAAAATGGGACTAAATACTGTAAAAAATATATTTAAAATGCAAACCACTTGGGAAAAAACTATGCTCTGTAGGTTTTCTTGTCCTTTTTCAATATAAGAGATTTTTAGCTTTTTGTTATCTACAGATACTTAGTTCTTTGTTTTATCGAGCCTCCTCCCTGGTTATCATATTAGAATGGTAAAGAAGAGTTAAGAATGAATATGTTTCTAATATTTGTTCTTCCATCTCCTTAGAAACTTCTGTGTCCTACAGGGCTTTCTCCCAGTACTTTTGATAGCAATAAGTCAATTAATAATTTTTTAAAGTCAGTTCCATACCCTCATTATTTTATATTTAGATTTCTACATTATGCCTTTCTGAGTGCTATGGCAATTATTATCATTACTATTGTAACTGCCATTACTAGCACATGTTCACATGTACTGAGGATAGCATGTGCCTTCTATTTATGTCACTTTTTAATAGACAGTGAGCAAGTAAAACAGCAAGAGCCCCATTTGGCTTGGTCCTGCCACCAGAACCATCTGCCAATGGATGTAGGAGAAGTCATATCCATTTATGCCTTGAGGGACAGGCCCACCAACCTCAATCCTGGCTATAAACCCTGTGAAACAGCCCTGTAATTCAGTTCCAGCCCCTCTCTGCTGTGGTCTCAAAACAGTCCTACCCAGTCAGGACTCAGAGGGACACATGCCTATCTCTGCCCTCTCAGCCAGGCCTGCACACACTGTCTCTGCTGCTGACCCCAAAGCATCCCTGTGACTTACTTCCACCCCCTCTCAGCCACTATCCAGTGCAAGTACTGCCTTCCCAGGAAGCCACCCACTGATCTAGCAGGAGCCCTCCTAGGGACCCAGAGGAAGCCATACCTATTCATGTACCTGGTAACAAGCCCTTCATCTGCAGACCCTGAAGCAAACTGTAACCCAGCACTAGTCCTATTGACCAAGGATCCAAGAGGCAATCCAGTTCACTCAGGGACCAAGCAGAGTCCATGCCTGCTTGAGCCCCTGATAACAGGCCTGCCAACCACATATCCCACTGTAGACCCAGCAGCAGCCATGTAACCCAGCTCTACCTCCACTCAACGTTGAACCCAGAGGCAATCCCATAAGCCCAGAGCCCAACAGGAGAAGGTCTTTACCTGCTGAAATGAATCTGTAAAGACTAGAAGATGGGTTTTTTACTTTAAATGCACAGACACCAATGCAATTTGTTGCAGTTTGCTGAAAAGACTCAGGACCAGACCAGAGTTTCCACACAACCCAGGTGTACCAGACCTCATGAGACCTGGAAGTACATGCAAGGTCAGCCATTAAAACCTTAGCTGCACAAAAAGCCTTCCCTAGGGAATCAGCAACAATGAATCAGTTTAGTTTAGCTCAAATTCAGAGCTCAAGTACTAGTCCCCACAGGAAGTTCCTCCATTTTAGAAGTAAGCAAAGGACAACAA